CAAGGACTTTTCCTGCAGCTAAATTCAACCAAAAGTTGTCAGATTACAGAGCCACCCTGAAAAACCGCAACTCTTGTTACTCACCATGTAAAATACAATCTACACACAAAGCATCTGTTTACATACACTATGGGAAAATGAAACATGAACACAGCCCTGCAAAGTTGTGTCCTGTGGCACACTGTACAACGGTGACTTTGGGTTCACATTTATGCATCTTTTATATAACTTCTTGTAAACGCTGACATATGTCAAACCTGTTCATGTAAAACTCTTTCACCGAAAGTCTTAAGTTCCCTGAGTTCGTTGCAATAGCTCTTTGTGCTCCTTTCAGACCCACAGATCACATTATTTATACATATGTTATATAAAACTTCAAAAACATGTGTATTTTTGTAAAATGAAAAAGAGGGCAAGCACACCCATGCTAAATAGAAGGTGCTGTTCAATTTTCTTTTTTTTTATATTGTGGTTCGAATGTTAGTGACATTTTTCAGCAAATGATGGTCTATCAGCAGCCGCCGACAGTCCAAACCAGGAAATAGTTACAGTTTACAGTAATTGCGGTGACGTCTGATGGTGTGACGTCTAATCCGCAAAGAAACATGACATCTGACCTGATGCGATTTCAATTTGAACCCTGTCTTAAAAGCCACTCTTTGTCCTGAGAGAAGTGGGCATGTGAATACTCTGACTAATACAATAAGTCATATGCTTTTAGTCCCCATGGTCACTCTGAACAGCTCCGTTAGTGTGGTAAAAGGCATTCAGTGAAATTCAGGTCATGAAATAGTTTATAATTTGCTGGATGTAACATGACTGACAAACCAAGTGAAAAAATCTAGGACAGTAAATGTTATATGTGTTCTTGAAAGATCATTTAACCACAAGAGGCGAGCTAAGAGGTACTCAACGGCACTTGTATGTGTGTAGATAACATGAGAAAAATAATGTACTGCAGATGTTTGCTCCGAGGAAGAAGAGGTAAAGAGCTGAAGATGAGGAAACATTCGAGGGGAGGCCAAAACAAGCTTTTAAATCCAAGTCCTCAAAACTATGTAAGAATATGGCAAACTTTTGTAGAACTTAAATACAACTAAGCACAACAGGGGATACAGCTGAGAAAATACCGAGATGGTCTGCAGGTTGCTGGCATGAAAACATGGGTCAGAATAAATAGTGTATGAACTGTTCAATAAATTATAAATAGAAATAGCCGCATGCACAGTTAACATCAATAATTTACATTGACATGTATGTATTATTTGTCATGCTGCAGTTAACCAAGTAATTAGACAGGAAACAGGAAATTAATCCATTGGTCCACAGAGAGAAAGAGGAAGTGCAGCAGTCGGTGACGGGGTGACATGGTGATTAACAACACAAAAAAGATGTGCCTTTATTTACACTTACCACATAGAAGATTCCTGAGGACTGATATATTTGAAAACAAAGAAAAAAAACTGGGAACATTCATTTTGTCCCATGATACTACTGTCCATACAGACAAAGATGTGAACAAAGAGAAGACACACAGTGTTGCTCAAACAGGTCTTCAGTGTCGACATAAACTCAAGCTCCTACAAGGAGCTTGGGTGTGATGCTGCTTATTTCAACCTTTCATGCAATCCTCTTTTAGCAATATTTAAGTTATTTAGGTGAAGACTTACAACAGGCTACAAGGTGTTTTCCAAGGCTAGTTGTAGTTGAAGAATCCTTATACTTCCTGGTATTGATCCTTAACTAATGAGCCAAATTTAAATCCACAAAAACAGTCAAATCTCAAAATGATCAGCTGGATGACATATATAACAGTGCCGGATTATCTGAACAACTCAGCAAGAAGCCCCTTCATCTCAGCAGATAATGTTATTCATCATTCTTATCAGTCTTTTCATTAACCCAAACAAACTCGTAGACAGAACACATATTTGCGTGTGGTCCCATCAGGGCTCCTATCAGCATTAACCCTTAAAAATTGCTTTTTGATTTGAGGCATGTTTTGGGGAAGACCGTCTCTTCGTGTGCTGTTTCCTGACAAACAGAGAAAATATGACTGATCAATGATTGAACGTTAAGCCTAGTGGTAACACACAAGGCAGTCTGTGCATATTAATGCTGGACACGTCTTTCTCTTTTCACTGAATTAGGCCACACAGGACAGAAAGCGGTTGTGCAATATGTAAATTAAATATTCAGTGTCTAATGTATTGTAGGCCAGTTGCAGAACTGCTGGTTCTGTTGAACTAGGACATTTAGTCCCACTGGGACTGTACATCAGTCCATTTAACCAAGAGTTTTCGTATAAAAAGAGAAGGTTCCCCCCCATCCTGTCTTATCTGACAGTATTTACTGTGTCAGTGGAGGTTGGACTAAAGTGGGTGGTTTAGTACATTTCATGAGCACATTGTAACCCTCCTCTTATTTAACCCTGAGGCTCTCTTTGATTTCAAAGGTCATTGCTGTCAGGGCCGTTTTCTAGAAGACACATGAGGTAAATCTGTTAGTCAAATTTTAAAGCCAGGTCAAGAATGTATACAAATTGAATTGGCTTCATTGAATCCTTCACTACCTGAAAAGTTATTATTGCGCACAATCAATTCAGTTTCACAAAAATTGTGTTGTTATTGTTGGCTCAACATGCCCATTATGTTGTGTAAGCTGCAACGCAACACTGTCGCTGCCCATGACTACTGCAATAATGCATTATAGTCATTTGAATTTATTATAAATGTCTGAAACTATTTGACAATAACCTCACAATATGACATTTATGCCCCCGTTAATAGAGGCACCTCCCAACTTTAAAAGAGAGGGAATGAGAAGAGAAAGAACAGAGTTTAATTCAGAAATTAAACATTAAATTGATCTGAAATCAATTTTATATCAATCTCATATGTCAAGGTGGGATTCTCATTTCAGGGAGTCACTTCTGGAAGGACACTAACAAACAAGAATTTAGGAAAATAAACGATCTGTTTATTACACAATAGATTAAGTTATCTCTTTATAGTTCAGTTTTTCTGTTTGGATATTTATGTAACCTTATTTTTTGGGGGTTCTCTGCCTTCTTAGCATTATATCCCACCAATACAGAAGCCATGGGGCATTTTTTGATGTTTGCAAGAAGGGGGATACAGCAGTCAGTGGAGAGTGATTTCATTTTTTCCTTCTCATGTGTTGGTGGAACTTAATTACCTTCTGTCTCAATACTGATGAGACAGTGGAGTCGAGGTGGTAGGATTGATAACTTTTTCATCTTACTGGCATTTTAGACACACACACAAGGTCATATAAAGAGTAGATATACAATAAATTCCTTCCTTTGAAAATGATGAAGGATGGATGACTGAAATCATTTTATCTATTTTAACATCACAGAATAAAACCACATTTTTGGCTGTTCAATGTGAGTATAAATCACCCCATATACTCTTTATCAATAAAATGAGACAACCCATCAATAAGTTAGAACTTATCAACAGTGACCATGGCTGGCAACAAGAATAGTAAAATCTATAGTTATTGATCTAAAGTCACTCTGAGATTAATATGGTCAATTAAAGACAGAAGAGGAGAGTTGGATCAATTACCAGCCAGCAAGAGAAAAGTTTGACGTCTCATTAACTGAGCAGAGACAAATGACCACTTTTAAAGCACTAACAGAGAAGTTACAGGCACGGTGGCAGCAAGTGTATGAGACAAGTTTTCCTTTACAAATGAAATTAATCTGAATGAGGATCACAAAATTGTGCGGGAGCACATTCATCATGCCGACAGCGCAACATGATTGCCCAATAAAGTGAACTTTAATGTTGTGCTGTAATTATTCTGCACAGTCATTTTAATGAGAAAGAAAGGCTCCGTCTGAAAAAAGTCAACAATGATGAAAGGTGTTGCTCAGATGGAGATAAATTGTCAGATAGTATATTTTGCTAATTTATAGTGTGCACACTCTTCAAAAACTGTTCTCTTAAGGTGTGTCATATCGATACACAATATCACTTTTAATGCGGCTCACACACAGAATTCAAAAAACAAAACTTGAACTCATTTGAGGTAGGTCATATGCATTTACATCTAGGTATTCAGAAATTCATTAACAGATACGAAAAAATCAATCCACATACCATTTGAAAATTGATGTGCAGTTTTGGAGAAATTAAATGAAATTAGAGAGTGTCCCTCAGTTTTTCCTGTATGATAATGAATAGTGAATTTTAGATCAATTTTAGAGCGCTGGGGCGCCTCTAGATTTGATTTCAGTATCTCTTAGATAACAGTCATTACTATTGTCCAAAACCATTTTAGTCCTTTTGTGTAAAGTTATACAAACTTCACTCCCAAAGATAGATAAAAAAAAAAACTAGTTTAATTTTTTTTTTTTTTTTACCAATGTTATATTTATATTTGTTTATATAGCTCAAGAGTTTATCTAATTATAGACACGGGGGCTATTCAAAGCAACTCAGTTTGCAGCTGCTTAAATAGAAACTTAATGACTTGGCTCGTCTAAAAGAAAATTGAAAGTTGAGAAAAACTTCAAATTCTAGGTTTTTTATCCATCTTTTAGATAACCTTTTTTATATAGTATCTGTTAAGGTATGAAGAACATATAAACAGAGAAGTTAAAAATGTTTAAATAAAATGAGTTGATGGGATATAAACCCATGAACTGGCCCCTTGAACATGTTGGCAGACACACATCTATAAAGATCAGTACATTAAACATTCAGCCTATAGCATGACATTCAGCCGCTCTGTAACATCTCCAGTGGACATCACCTCTCAGGCATGAATGCTGAAGACGGGCTCATTTGAGGGAGGACAGTTATCAGGCGGCATCTCGCCCACACTGCTACTGATAGCTGCAATCAGCAGAAGAAGGAAGAAGGGGACTCGAGAGTGCGGCTCATCAGCTCTGATAAGGCCTTTTGTATCACCTCTGATTGAGTTGGAATACTTACAAGATGCACTGTAATGAATGTAATGTGCTGTCTGAGGAGCTCCATCATCTCGTGTTTTTGTGTGTGTTTGTCAGAGCGAGAGAGTGAAGAGAATGAAAGAGGATGTGAGTGTTCGTGTGCGTCAAGAACTCATGTTGAGAAATGTAAACTCGACGCTGTCCTTCATGAAAAAATTCAATCTAATGCTGTATTGGACTGAGTGCAGATAACAAAGACAGGGAGGAGAGAAACCCCATATAAACCCTTACCTTGTATGTGTTTTGCTAAGGCTCTGTTTAAAGAGGTTACTGTTACTCTGCCCTATACTGACAAAGACGCTGCAACCAAGAAGGTTTAGGAACAGGAAAGTGACAATCCTACAGATAACAGAAAATATGCATGACAACATTAAGTATGATGATAACAAAGAGCAATAAGCTGTATTACTTTTTTCTCATCTAGCTCACAGTGGCTGGTTTTCTCTGCAGGTCTCATCTTATTCAATCTTTCTGCCCTTGTAAACTTAAACCATTTGACCTGGAGAATGGGGGACTAATATTGAATTATATATCTTTAGAAATCAGTCAACTTTATTGTCATTTATCTAGATACCATGTATTCAATTGTATAAATTGGTGTTTCTCAAAGACCAGGTGCCAATTAATTGCAAATAAACACTGGATAGATAAAGAAGACAAAAAGTGCAAATAATAATAAAAAATATCCAATGACTAACAAGATCAAACAACAAGGAGACAGACTGTCAGGATATCCTAGATATTGATGCTGGTATACATTTCACTGAATGTTGCATATTGAATAAATAATGAATTACTAAGGGACCGAGGCCTGAGGTAGGAAGTGAAATACCAGGATGAAGAGAAAATTTAAGTGTCATGTTGGAGATAGTCTTTGCAAAATGTCAGTTAAAAATAAATATGAAGGCAGTAAATCAATATTTTAATATCTGAATACAGTGCAGGCACAGTGGTGATATAAGGTACAGGTGACAGAGATTATTGTCCAGCACAGAGTGGCAGTGCATGTTGACTGTACAGTATATGATTGAGTGTGGTGATATAGGAAGAGGTCAGTCAGAGATGGTGGGGGGCAGAGGGATAGATGTGAATGTCAGTAATAAGATGGTTTTAGAGAAAAAAGCTGTTGCAGAATCTTGTTGTGCAGGTCCTGATGCTGTAACACCTGTTGCCTGATGAAAGGCATACATATAGTTTGTGGGAGGGTCCTTCCTGATTGTGGAGGCTCTGCATGCACAGTGTGTCCTGAAGACGTCCTAGATGGAGAAGAGTGAGGCCCCTATGATCCTCTCAGCTCTCCTCACTATGCATTGTTGGGTATTCCGTTCCATTGCTATGGAATCCCTAAACCACCCAGTGATGCAGGAGGCCAGGACGCTCTTCTACAGTGCCTCTGTAGAAGGAAGTGAGGACTGGTGATGGGAGGTTGGCTCTCTTCAGTCTCTGCAGGAAATGGAGGCATTATAGTGGTGCCTTCTTGACTGCCGAGGTGTGGTTGTCAGAGAGATGCACTTGGTATTCCTGACCCTATGAAGGGAAGGGTGGTCGGTTGGTGTCCTCCTGAAGTTAACAACCATCTCTTTTGTGTTCTTATCAAGAGATTGTTTGATGTGACTGCACCATCTTGCCAGCTGCTCCACTCTTTCCCTGTGGGGTGTTTCGTTATTGTTGCTGATGATTATTGCTGATTAGGCTGCAAACTTGACAAGAGGTTGGCTTCTGACATTGGGGCGCCTGTGCTCAGCATGATGGAACCTGATTGTCCGCTGCTGATTTACACAGTGTGGTCTCTCTGTCAGTGAGTCAAGAATCCAGTTGTAGAGGACGATATGGAGGCCTGGGAAAGAAAGTTTCTTGATCAGCCTCTGGGGGGTGATGGTATTGAATGCTGGGTTGAAGTCAATGAACAGCATTCTGACGTATGTGTCATTAGTGTCCTGGTGAAAGAGGGCTGAATGAAGGATGTATGAAATGGTGTCATCTGTGGAGTGGTTTGCAAACCGGTGGGGGCCCAGTGAAGTGGAATGGAATGATTTGATGTGTCTCATGAACAGCTGCTCAAAGTACTTGATCATGACGGGAGTCAGTGCCAAAGGGTGGTTGTCATTATTGAGACATGTAACAGAGGGCTTCTTTGGTACAGGGATCCCTCTGTTTTAATTCATACTTTTATAATGCAGACGCTCAGTAATTCAGTCACTTTTGAAAGGAGAGTGGAGTCACAGAGAGTTAAGTTTCTGAAAATAATGTTGTTTGGGAGAAGGTCTTTGCTGACTGAGGGTTAAATGGCTTGGACCTGATCAGACTGGTTTGTGCTCAAGTCCCCGCCAAATGCATTCAATGCTACTGCGCAAATGGTGGAGTGCGTACAACACTACTGGGCAATGTTGGTTTCAGGAAGTGAAGAAAAAACATGGAATTACCGAGAGCTTTATGGCTTCACATCCGTAGACTGGTGGAAGGCGGAACCAAGTTGTCCATAATATATATACAGTCTATGTTTGTAGCCCTCCCCTGGAGAAAATCTAACCAGCAGACGTACGCCAAAACACAGAAATTCCATACATTATAAATTATTAGTCATGACGATTTGATCTTAAATCCCTCAATACTTCCAAAACCTTCACTTTTGTGTGTGAGTTACATGAGTTGGTGCAATGTCATTTTATGTCGTAAATGTTTTTTATTCAAAATTTGATGTGTTTGTTTGCATTTGTCCCCTGTAAAGCACAGTGAACAGTGTATTGTTCACTAATTACTTTTAAACCTTTATTTAGACAGCACTTCAATGCTGATTTGATGTTTCTGTTTTAATACAAAACTTATCTTTAAACCACACCACGGCTCCAGTTACTTATTGTGTCTGTCAAATGATTTCCTCAAGAGGGTTACACATGTTTACACGTCGTAGGAACCAATCAATCTAGAAGTTGCTCATTAAGTGAAAAGTCACTATAAGATGTACGAAAACGCTGAAAAAAATGAGAGTAAAAAGAACCTTGTGTATTTTGAGTGTGTGTCTGCGTGAGCTAGCATGTGTGAAACAGCTGGAGTATATAATTTGTTTATACAGTGTTTAAGTCCTGGGGAGAAAACCTTGAGTAGCCAATTAAAACTAACCATTTAAAGGTTATTAGGTCAGACTGTAATTACAATATGGGACTTATTACACATCAGACATAAGGATAAGGATAATGTATTCATTTTTACTTTATAGCTACTGGTAAAATAAAGTGGTCATTAGCATACTAGAGGTCATGTAATGCTGCTGGTAAATGTCAGCGGAGAAGGCATTAAAACATGAAACTTACTGCACTCATATAAAGCTCCAATTGAGCTGCTGAAGTTAAACTCAGCTTTCCAAAAAAACATGGTAACTCACCGTTAATTAATGACTTAACAAGGAGGGCAATGACTGGTTGGTTTGGACAGCTTTTTTCCCTAATAAAAACTGTGTTTATCTTCGTCTGATATTTAAATTTGCCTTTTATCGTGGCCAGTCTAAGGATCACCTGTGCACTAATCATGCTGTCTAATCAGCATCTTGGTGGATGGATTATCTCAGCAAAGGAGAAGTGCTCACTAACACAGATTTAGGCAAATTTGTCAACCATATTTGAGAGCAATAGGTCTTTTGTGTACATAGAGAAAGTCTTGGATCTTTGAGTTCAGCTTATGAAAAGTGGGAGCAAAAACAAAAACGTTGCGTTTATATTGTTTTTTCAGTGTATACTAGTTGGCAGGTTGATTCGGCTTTTATTATTTTGTCACTATCACTGTTTTTTAATTCGCATTAAATGATGAAGAAAAACTGACTTCACCAGAAAGTTGTGTGAAGCAGAAAAAATAAGATATCCTCTGATTTCAGTGAAGTTTTTGAGGCCAAAAGTCACTCAGATGATCCAATATGTCATTTTATGTATCCGTCTCAGTCCAGGCAGTAGCTGCTGCAATCACAGCGGCATCAATCATCACATTCCTGCCATCAATATAAATGCAAATCATACAATCTGATAAGGCTGTGTGGATTATGACTTGGCAGCAGACTCTCTGCGGTATGATGCGGTGAAAGGTCACTAAGTTCAGGTGACTACTAAGAGTGAAAAAGGCAAGCACGAGGAGATGAGCGAAAGCCTTTTTAAGATGATCAGAGCTGCTGCTACTTCACAGGTGCAAATGTATTCTGTGTCAAATCATATGTAACGTTTATATTGACTTAGTGGAAATGTTGTTTGTTGGTGTTTCCATTTCATGGCATTTCCATCTTGACTCTTTAAATTCTTGATTTAAAACAAAGAATAAATTGGTATGCCAACAACAATTTAAGAAATGCCACGTAAGTGCAAAACACATCACTTTTTTGACATATAACTACAAACAAAATGCCTCATAAACTCAAGAGACCAGTTGGCCTGATTACATATTACCTAATTAACATTTCGCCATGTAACTTGGCAAGGAAAGTCAGATCTATACACACAGGTGTTTTTACATTTGTTATTATCTTTTCGAAGACAACAGCATGACTTAAAACTCAAGGCCATGTCACCACATCACTGCAAATTAAAGTCAACGACAGGGAAGAGTTATAAATGTTAACTGATAAACTTGACACCCAGAAGATGGATGTTATACACTCGTCAAACTTTGTCAGTCACAAACCACAAACACAATCTCTCTCTCTCTTTTTCTCTCCCTCTTTCGCTCTCACACACACACTAACAGATGTAGACCTGTTTCCTGGACTTCATCTAGTGACGGCTAAACCCCAGCTTCAATTAAACAGTCCGCTTAAACTGCAGACCTTTCTCCACTCGAGGGATAATTACCCCCATTATTCTATTGATGAAGTGGCACCTGAAAAATCCCTTTAATGTTTTACCCGATTTGAATTTCGCAAAGCAACACACCTCCTGAGCCGCATAAAGCTAAAAGTTCTTTTAAAAAAGTCCGACTGAGTGTGTGGGCTGAGTTTTAACACCCGTCTGTGTCAAACTTACGCCAAATACACCCATCTTATCTGAACTCAACACGACAAAGACCTGGATCGAGCTGGACCATGTATGAATACTAAAATTAAACCAGCAGAAATAAAGATGTTTGTAAATATTACAGAGGTATAAGCCTGACTATTCATTTATGCTCCCTTCACTGCTCTGTCCCTCAGAGGTTCCAGTGGCACAGCAGTGGTCCTCATTTGTTTTGCAAACTAATTCAGGGCCATCAGCAGCCGGGCCATTAATTAGGGGATCATCATGAGGCGAGGGAGATCATCACAGCGAGGTCACTACATGAGGTGTCTATTATCCTCGTCTCCATCTGAGGTGAAAATAAACCTCTTACTTCTGGCTTTAATCAGAGGAAACAATGCTAACCCCCAGCTGAAACATCTCAACATCACTGTATATTTAAGGCTTACTCATTGATTGTTGATAGATTATGGCATTAGGCATTTTTTTGGCAGACTTGCATGTTAATAAAGAAAGAAAAAACTTTGGGCTTTTTTTCCCCCTTCAAATAAGATACTAAAGTGGTTATGCAAAAATCAAATTATTAAACTCTATACATTATTACTTGAGACAAAAAAATGTAATAGTTGTCAGTATACAAATGATAGAAACTAAAAATACTGCTCTGTCTTTACACAATTTCCTGGCATAAGAGAGCTGCAGTTAAACAAAGAAACAGTGTAGTAACAGGGAGGACTGCTGCTGATTTCAATAACAAAAGCACAGCACAGCCTCCATGGTAGCATATAGGAAATTACAGCTAGAATACACCTCACCGCCTGCTTTTTTTCCAATGATGCATTACCCTACAGCACCGGCACATTCTTCTGCCTAGAAATATTAGATATTAGCAATAGCTGACATTAAACTTTAAGTCTTTGAACCATTTTTTTCTCTATTTTATTTTTTTTACAGCCGATGAAAATAAAAATGTAACATAAAAAGGAATGATGCATTGCACCACCTTTACGGTTTTATTCTACATTTTATATCTTAGGAAATAGAGTTTTATTATTAGGGGTGTCCACCAAGAAAAAGTGATAAATTTGTTTTAAAGTTTTGTACGACTAGGCTCTTACCAAAGGTATTCACGTTTTGTTTCTTAGGGTAGAGAATCATGACCCACATCAGTCTCCAGATGCCTGGGGGAAACACTTCTGGAAGAGTCTGAACTCCAAGACGAGCAATTTAACTCATCCTCCTCTGCCCTTGCTCTTGCGTTGCCACATGCTTCGCATTTTGGTGAGTTAATATGATGATGAAAAAGTGGAATAAAAGACAGAGGAAAAAAACAAGATAATTTACAGAAATGGGAGGTAAGGTTTAAGCGATGTATGAACTGATGATGAGAGCCAAGTCTGGGAGCAGAATTGTAAATTTGGACTCAAAAACCCCCTTTGTCTTTAACTCATATCAAGATGATCAGTGATAGGAAGTGCGAGAAGAAGGGCAGATAGACGTATGGCAGGAACTCAAAACACTTGGAGGCTCAAAGACACTCAAGGCATACCGAGACTAATTGTTTAATGAGACTGTGTATAATCCACAGCTATCATTTAATGAGGACAAAATATTCTTTATTTGTCAAATTTTAAAAAAGCTCTTTCTGTGTGTCCTCTTCAATTTTTTGATTTCACTTGAATTTAAGTCCACGTTTCTCTGCTGCAGTACCTACCTTTTTTGTTTTGTTTTGTTTTTTGCATGGCTCATGTCTAACTGCTGACATCCTGGTGTCTGCAAAAATCTAAAATGTTCCCATCTTTGCCTTTAGTCTTGCCGGTCGCAGTTGGGAGCTTTTCATTCAAGCTTGTCAGTTGAAAAGATCAAGTTATTTGGTTTGCACTTCCACCTACTGGCTTTGTTTTGTATTGCACCACAAGTGACGTGTCTTTCAGAAGTGCTTTCAAAGCATGTGTGTTGTACTGTTGTACAGTATACATATGCTGCAATATGTATTCTTAATAAATTGTTATAAATTAAATGCTAAGAATGACTATCACTGTGAAAGATTATTTTGTACCTGGGAATCAATGTACTCATTAAATAATCACAACCGTCTAGAAGAAGGCAGGATGCAGATGCATGCATAGCCAGCAACAACAACAACAACAACACATACTGTATATTTTGTCTCTTACCTCTGGGCCATAGCCAACAGTGCCATCCTTTATACTGTCAAGAATAGATTAAAAAAATTCAGTGTATTAAAACCACATAAAGTTAGGTGTTGTGGTCCTGCCTGCCTCATAACAACACAGGTTGCATCAGCATAGCCATGACAGTTAGACTCTTAGCTCAACTTTATCATCATCATCATCTTTACATAACACGCAAAATAATACATAAAAATTCTAAGCATAAGTGGAAAATAAAAGCACTTAAACCACAAAAAGCCAGAGGCTAAAAAATACGACAAAGCTCCATAAAGTGTGTTTAGTCATTAAAGTGCTACAGATGAAATAACAATTATGATGAATAGTTGAGGTAAAGCAGATAAAAACAGAATAATTAAATAATTTACTTTATTTAAAAGTTTGAAGCCTATTGCATCCTCTTTACAAAAAAAAACTGCTCTGTTTTTCTGAAAAATGAGATTATTATTTCAAAATTATGAGAAATATCTTTGATGTATTTTTGCTGATCAATAAGATAATTATCAGATCATCAGAAGTGCCGGATGACGTATCTGTAAATTAAAAAATACCTGCCCTTATGTCTCATACATCTTACTCTAGGATAGTTTTATATTATAAACATGCCAGGTGTTTGACAGCTGACTGGTCACACCCCTTTGGTTAGAAATAAAAAAGAAGAGCATTTACACATGTACAGGGCAAGATCAAGAGAAAAATCAGGAGCTCCACCTTGCCAAAGGGGGGCGCTAGAACTCACCCAAACCAGAAGGTCATCCCAGTCACTTAAAGTACTGATACTTAGATCAGGGATAAGGCCTGATATGATGTCTTATCTATTATACTAATTGTCACATCCCAACTCTAGTGCTGTGTGTACATCTTATCAAAAATAATTTTGATATTATTATAATTATTATTATAATTATTATTGTAGAAACTTTCTATACAAATGGTTTGTCTATAATCTTTATGTTTTTAATCACAGGTCGCGTGACTAAAGAAACCTGCTGCCCAGAAGTCGATGAAAAAGCATGACTGCATAAGAAGTGAAATTAATTTATGACCACTTTGAGTTGAAAACCACACAACTGCAGAATCATTTAAGTTTCATTTTCCCAAGAAAAGTGATACATCAACCGCGGTCCAAGAGGTGGTTATCTACTCATTCAGGCTGCTGCAACTCCCCCTCTTAACATGTCAATCTGCCAACATCCGCAGCATCATTTACTTGCTGAAATACAGTGTCTTGAAAAAGTATTCATACCCCTTAAACTTTTTCACATTTTGTCACTCTACAACCACAAACTTAAAAGTATTTTATTGAGATTTTTTGTCATAGACCAACACAAAGTAGCAGCAACAGTAGGAACGATAATGATATGTGGTTTTCAAAAAATTTAGACAAAATAAAATCTGAAAAGTTTGGTGTGCCTTTGTATTCAGCCCCCTGTACTCTGATATCCCTTAATAAAATGCAGTGCAATCAATTGCCTTCAGAAGTCACCTAATTAGTTAATAGAGTCCACCTGTGTGTCATTTAGTATCAGCATAAATACAACTGTTCTTTGAAGGCCTCAGTGCTTTGTTAGAGAACACTAGTCAACAAAGAACATCACGAGGACCAAGGAACTCACCAGACAGGTCAGGGAGAAAGTTGTGGAGAAGTTTAAAGCAGGGTGTAATATCCAAAGCTTTGAACATCTCATGGAGCAGTGTTCAATCCATCATCCAAAAATGGAAGAAGTATGCCACAACTGCTAACCTACCAAGACATAGCCGTCCACCGAAACTGACAGACCGAGCAAGGAGAGCACTGGTGAGAGAAGCAGCCAAGAGGCCCATGGTTACTCTGGAGGAGTTGCAGAAATCCACAGCTCAGGTGGGAGAATCTGTCCACAGGACAACTATAAGTCTTGAACTCCACAAATATGGCCTTTATGTGGAAGAAGGTGCTCTGGTCAGATGAGACCAATGTTGAACGTTTTGGCCTGAATGCAAAGCGCTATGTGTTGCAGAAAAGTAACACTGCTCATCACCCTGAACACACCATCCCCACTCATCACCCCATTCAGAACAACTTATTTTATGGTCAAAAAGATGCAAATGCAAGTTGCAACTGACAAGCTAGTATAGAGGTTAGAAAAAAACTCAAAAATGTGGTTAAAACTGAGTAGAAGTTATGACACAGACAAACATGGGATCACAGAGTCTGCTGGTAAATTTTACAGCCAACCAAATATTCCTGCAGGCAGGAATATTGTTTTAGAGCTGATGTCTGAACACTGTGAGAGGAGAGAGGGGTGCATAAACAAGAAAGAAAATTATACTATTTGAGTTTTGAGCCATATCTAAGATAAGATTTTTATTGATCCCCAAAGGGAAATTTAATATCTGGTGTTGTGTCTGGGTGGAGATTCAGCAAAACATCTTTAAACGCCCTTTGCATGATCTCTGCTGACTCTGAATCTGTTCTGGCACAATCTCACACTTTCATAAGTGAAACTAAAGATCCTCTCATGGTGAAAAGAAACATTCCTTCTTCCTTTAAGTGGCACTGTCAGTTGATCAGCTTTTCGCCTCACCCTGACTCATATAATCAGTCACTATCAGGCAGGCACACCACCACTATCCACAGGAGGCAAAGGGCACAGTGCTGCATGCCTTGGAAATACAGTGGAGGAACAATGATCAGCGTACACACTCTGACAGCAGGTAGGTCAACTCTGTAATACACCTGGCATCCAGTGTTTATGACTGTATGCTGCTTGGTGATAAGAGATCTACTCATAATTCATACACATCATGCTGTAAGATATATAGATGGATAGATACATAGATTGATAAATACTTTATTGATCCAGATGGATATTTCAGTTTCAAAAGTTTACAAAAAGTCCTAGATTTATAAATTTGGAGAAAAAGATTTTATTCAAGCACTCTCAAATTCAAGAGATAAAGTAACAGATTAAAAAGTGAGTGTGAAAAATTCAACGTCAGGATCGCTGCTTGACAATTTAAGACAAATTGGGATGAAAAGTGGAAGCCGCAGCATATTATTTTGGCACCACAATTTTTGACAGTTATTCAAATTATTAAAAACTGTAAAATGTAATCACAGTGCCATTCATCTATATTGAAATACACAGTAATCCTGGTTGCAATACTGCAACTTTCAATACGGGAAAATACGAAAACATATCACCCTGGTAACAAGCATAGGGGCCATCAACCAATGGTGTAATTGCTGACGAAAAACATAAATTAAGCTTGGTTTAGTTTCAGGGTTATTTTTAACTCTGTGAAAAAACTGAAAACTTGGCAGTGTTTTTGACTCTTTCACGAGGAAAAAAAAAATCACTAAACGAAAAATTAGCCACTTTCCCCAAAAACTCCCCCTATAAACCTTTAATAAAGATTTTGCAAGCAAAAAGGGACTGAATTTTTTGTAAAAAAAAAAAAAAAAAAAACTTGCCGGTGGTGTGAGCAAAATTTACTGGTCGAGTTTCACTGATATAAATTCATACACTAATAGACTAAAATAACAACACATTCTTAATCTAGGAAACTTGACAAGTAACCTTTGTCTACCTCATTTGAATTTTTTTTAATCAAAATTCATTTATCAGTGTTTTTTTCTTATTTCTAGAAATGTCTTGTTTGGTTTATTTAAGCCTTATACACCAGTCCAGTCCAAGAAATGGCCAATTTCAACATGTTATGTACCAAAATGAGACATGAACATGAAACGAAGCCTACAAAGCTCCTTCTACGATGTAAATTTCATTTGTATCAGTGGCAATAAATTAAAAATTCCACTCTAACATACAGAAACTTTCAGCAGAATTAGACAAGCAGTAAATTATCAAGATTTAGTGTGATTTCATGAGTTACAGAAATGGACTTCAATAAGTGGGTATGTCCATATATACATATATACAGATTTGGGGGGGAATATATCCTTTCCTGTTCTTCTTATTCTTATTTTAGAATACAATGAGTGATACTATTCATGACAAAGGTACCAGGTATTTTTGATTTCAAAACATACAAAACTCATTAAGTAAGCTTCAATATGATCAATATGAACTTCTATTTTCCTGTTTTATTTTCAATAAACTATTGATCAAGACTTTTCATTTGACATGGAAAGCCATTCCAGTTAACCATGACTTCCTTAAGACACTTGCTATTTGCATGTAAGCCAAATCAGGGCTAATATGCTCGCTGTTTCTTGCTGTAGTAAAATTCTGGCAGCAAAGTTCTGTTTCTAATCTAATAAACCAAAGAATCACAAGTCAGATTTACCTAAATGTCAATAAATCCATCCACACTTCTTTATATTCCTGAGGTGAGGAATGGCTAAAACTTTAACAATATTTCAATATTTCTCAGAATATTAAGGCTGTGTCTCATTTCAGAGACCGCATCGACCTAAGTGCCCTTCTGCACCGTCGAACGGTGCATTTGAAGTGTGCATGACGTCACGACGGTGCGAACGGTGTCCCATTTGGCACGAGATGCTAAAAAATGCTAAGCGCGCTTAGCATGTTTTCAAGCGTGCATTTATGCACGCTTTCCTGCCGTCGGTATCCCAGAATGCTTTGCGTGCCGCTGCACAGCTGCGCATTTCAGGTGAGAGGCTGGACTCGCTTGGAGACGCAGCGCGTCTTCAAAGAAAATACAAGAAATCCAAAAACCGCAGACAGTCAGCACAGGCTGTATGAGAGCATGATCTCTGAACTCACTAAAATCTGCAAACCAAACATCATAGATTTAGAGACGAACTGATCCGCTCTGCTTCAACAATCAAAAACATTAGAAATAAGAAAGCTGACAAAACTACAGCAGAGTATCAGGACAACATTGAGGTTTTTTTCTTTTAAGATTTAGAGATTAAAGTTGTAAATTTAGGAGAATAAAGTCATAAAGTAAATAAAGTCATAAAGCTGCTTTTGTGGAGGGGGAAATGACTGAAGCTGGTCATCTGCAGGGTTATCTGTGGATGTATCAGCGGGTCATTCAGAGAGATTTTGTGGTTTCTGAAGAAACAATCAAACTGATGATGATCAACATTTGTGATCCAGAGGGAGTCGAGCTCCGACGAGCACCACGTCTCTGACACCGACGGTAACCTACACCTGCAGAGACACCAACACCTTATTATGGCATATGGATTCATATCATAAACTAAAGCTCAATGTCATTCACGGATATTTACGGCTGCATTGACAGATATATCCTCAGCATATTCATTTCTGCCTCCACAAAAGCAGCGATTTCCTTCAAGTACACCAGTTTTTTCCCCCGTGGAAAAGACGTATTTCTCATATATTCTTTTTTTAAAGTCTTTATACTTATGACAATGTGATGCTGATGTGCCAGAGGATGAAGTATCTCCTATCCTCCTTCTCAATAGGGCCCTCATACTCCTTCATACAAAACAATCATTGGATGAATTTTGAGGGAATGATCTGTGCTTGTATGTATCTACTATTTTGTGTCTGTGCAAGGTCGCACAATTAAAACAATACATGCTGCGCTCCGCAGCTTTTTTTCTAATCAGTCGTGACGTAAGCCTGAGGGCGGGGACATTTGGAGACCTTCGGAGGGCTTCCTGGTGGAGTTGCCAAATGTCCCCGCCCTCAGGCTCGCGTCACGACTGACTTAAAGGAAACCCGCGGAGCGCAGCATTTATTGTTTTAATTGTGCGACCTTGCACAGACACAAAATAGTAGATACATACAAGCACAATTCATCCAATGATTGTTTTGTAAGAAGGAGTATGAGGGCCATATTGAGATTTAAGACTTTAAGGACTTCGAGATTTAAGTCGTGAATTTACGAGAATAAAGTCATTAATTTATGAGAATGAAGTCATAACCTGTTATTTCAGAGAGACTTGTTAAAATTAGGGCCATGAAGCATTTGAAGGAACTGTGCTTCAGTATAGGTTTCACAAACAAGGAGATTCTTCATCCTCTGGCACATCAGCATCACATTGTCATAAGTATAAAGACTTTAAAAAGAATATATGAGAAATACGTCTTTTCCACGGGGGAAAAATATTGGTGTACTTGAAGGAAATCGCTGCTTTTGTGGAGGCAGAAATGAATATGCTGAGGATATATCTGTCAATGCAGCCGTAAATATCCGTGAATGACATTGAGCTTTAGTTTATGATATGAATCCATATGCCGTAATAAGGTGTTGGTGTCTCTGCTGGTGTAGGTTACCGCCGGTGTCAGAGACGTGGTGCTCGTCGGAGCTCGACTCCCTCTGGATCACAAATGTTGATCATCATCAGTTTGATTGTTTCTTCAGAAACCACAAAATCTCTCTGAATGACCCGCTGATACATCCACAGATAACCCTGCAGATGACCAGCTTCAGTCATTTCCCCCTCCACAAAAGCAGCTTTATGACTTTATTTACTTTATGAGTTTATTCTCCTAAATTTACAACTTTAATCTCTAAATCTTAAAAAAAAAAAACCTCAATGTTGTCCTGATACTCTGCTGTAGTTTTGTCAGCTTTCTCATTTCTAATGTTTTTGATAGTTGTAACACAGCGGATCAGTTCGTCTCTAAATCTTTAATGTTTGGTTTACAGATTTTAGTGAGTTCAGAGATCATGCTCTCATACAGCCTAAGCTGACTGTCTGATGGTTTTGGATTTCTTGTATTTTCTTTGAAGACGCGCTGTGTCTCCAAGCGAGTCCAGCCTCTCACCTGAAATGCACAGCTGTGCAGCGGCACGCAAAGAATTCTGGGATACCGACGGCACGAAAGCGTGCATACATGCACGCTTGAAAAAGAGGCGGGGGTAGTGTGGTTTTGAGACCGAATTTGAAGCGCAATTAGTATTTTGTGCCAAACGGGACACCGTTCGTGCCGCGTGGTGACCTCACGTACGCGTCAGATGCGCCGTTCGATGGCTGCTGTATCTGAAATGGGACACAGGAAGGGCACAGAACGGCGCAAAACGGCGTAAAACGGCTCAAAACGGCAGTGCACTCAGCTAAGCGCCGTTAAGCGCGCTTATCACGATGCGGTCTCTGAAATGAGACACAGCCTAAGTGTGCTATCACTGTAAGACCATTGGTGAAAAGGTGGAGCCACACTCTGTATGTTTGTGCTGCTCTCTGCTGGTGTCGTATTTTAACTACAGCTTAGTTGTCACTTATTTGTGAGAAACTTTTTGACATGAATATACAATTGACTCATCATGATAATATTCTTTTAGAGATTTTAAATAATTAATACAAGAAGCACTGTGGTATTATATACAAGGAGCACACCTATAACAAACATTCCTTCCTTAAGTTTCTATTTAACAACAAAGCAAGGCCATAGCTGTAGTCATTTGAAATACAACTAAATTGTTCTGTTTCTTTGATTGCCCCATTGACTTTAGTGCAAGATTTTTCAGCAATTTTTTGCCACGAATGTCTCTACTCAGATACAATAGAGAAAAGTAACAGCACACCAATCTCAATCAAACTGCACATTTGATATATAATTTGACTTTAAAACCTTTTCAAGTTAAAGGACTAGTTGGAAATCGAACTTGTTTTTTTTACTTTATTGATATTGATGAGTAATTGCTCTCTCTCATTATGAATAGTAGGTCTGCTGTTGTGCTGTACAACAGCTCTGGAGAGAAGTGATCCTTCAAACGCAACTTTTCCTTCGGCCATTTCAACAACACCCTCAACAATCCCTAAGCCAACAGATAAGACATCTGCAACTACTGCTGCAGTACCCACTTCATCAGCTTTAACTACCTCCACTCCAACACCGACCACAGACTCTAACACCAACACCAAGGCCAATTCAACCGCCATTATGCAAACCAATAACACTTCCAACATCACCCAATCCACCAGCTCAACCATTAGTACTACACATGCCAGCGGCTCCATAAGCACCATCCAATCCACCAGCATGGACAGTATCAGCACCACCCCTCTTGTTACCCAAAACAACAGTCTCACCAACCCCAGGACCACCCAGCCTAACATAACCTTAAACAAAACTCACACCAAAAGTCCCGCTGGCATCACCACCGATGCTCACTCTGCAGCTCCTAGACAGTTAACCAACCAGGTGCAAAGCAGTACCATCGCTGATCCATCTTCATCAACTACTGACACAATTACTGCATCCCCGGCCTCTTCATCACATCTTGAACCAGCATCTTTGACCCCAAATGTGACAGCCACCATCAGATCTACCACAGTCAGCAACAAAAACAGCAACTCTTCAGGTAAGAAAAGCACCACCTTCAGTCATTATTTCACTGGTTACCTTGTCCTGCGGTGAAAGTAAGGACGTGTTTTGCTGCCACTCAGGTATATAAATACACAAATCAGTTTCAAGTTATAACATGGAGCATAACATTGGCTTTATTGATATTGATGAGTAATTGCTCTCTATCATCATGAATCATAGGTCTGCTGTTGTGCTGTACAACAGCTCTGGTGAGAAGTGATCCTGAAAACGCAACTTCATCTTTGGCTCCTTTGACAACACCCTCAACAATCCCTGAGCCAACAGCTGAGACACCGACAACTACTGCTGCAGGACCCACTTCATCAGCTTTAGCTACCTCCATTCCAACACCGACCACAGACTCTAACACCAACACCAAGGCCAATACAACCGCCATTATGCAAACCAGTTACAGTCCCAGCATCACCCAATCCACCAGCTTAACCCTTGGTACTACACATGCCAGCGGCTCCATTAGCACCATCCAATCCACCAGCATGGACAGTATCGGCACCACCCCTATTGTTACCCAAAACAACAGTGTCACCAACCCCAGGACCACCCAGCCTAGCATAACCTTAAGCAAAACTCAGACCAAAAGTCCTGCTGGCATCACCACCGCTGATGCTCACTCTGCAGCTCCTAGACAGTCAACCAACCAAGTGCAAAGCAGTACCATTGCTGATCCATCTTCATCAACTATTGACGCAATTACTGCATCCCCTGCATCTACACCACTTATTGAACCAGAATCTTTGACCCCAAATGTGACAGCCACCATCAGACTTACCACAGTCAGCAACAAAAACAGCAACTCTTCAGGTAAGAAAAGCACCACCTTCAGTCATTATTTCACTGATTACCTTGTCCAGCGTTGGAAGCATGAAAATGTTTTGCTGCCAATCATAAACATAAACATATTAATCAGTTTCACGTTATAACATGGAGCATTTACTGTGAGTACGACATACTTTTACATTATAAATTTAAACTTATAACATTAAACTTATATTGAGTTCTGATTTTAATCTGATAAACCAATGAATCACAAGTCAAATTTAATAAAATTTACCCAGATGTCAATAAATATTGTTTAACAATATGTCTTCAAAGACTTAAACTCAGATTATTAGGTGTGCTATCACTGTAAGACCACTTGTGAAAAGGTGGAGCCACTCTTTGTATGTGTGTGCTGCTCTCTGCTGGTGTAGTATTTTAACCACAACTTAGATGTCACTAATTAATAATAAACTTATTGCATGAAATTACAACTGACTCTGTAGATCTCAACTTTTTAATATGGAAGGTAAAGAATCTGATTAAAAATAAATCATGCAGACTCTTCACAACAGTATAGCTCATCAAAGTTATCGATTATACCAGATTGAATCGTGCCTAAAAATAAGATCTCTAATGATTCAAAGTGTGACAGGTTGTTATCTAGATGATATGAGCAGAGCAGTGTGTCACCTCTATCTAACTTCCTTCTTTCATTGCAAAGGCTTACACAATCTGCCCTCCAAGGTTTTGAATGAAGTCATTACGTAGCCTCGCCTCCAGGCTCTCACGATTAGTCACATACAGACGTCTGCAGCCACACACACACACTACACCGTCCTCAGGGAGCACAGAGCACAGAGCTACACTCCAACACGTGTTTGGTTAGATTTACAGCAAAGAAACACAATCATGAGGGTCAGCCTACGGACTCTGGTGACATGTAAGTAAACTCTGATAACACTTTGCTTAATTTTGTGACAATCCTATCTGTTTGTTTTCATGTAAGACAGTATTCAGATGGTTATTCATTGATGAAAATGCTAAGTTGGAAATTTAAAGTTGAACAAATGTCTGAAGGTAAATATCGTAAAAATAAAAAAGCCTTCAATCACCTCATTAACATTTCTATTCTCATTAAATTGCACATTTGATGTTGCCCAAAACCCTTATTATTGTAAAGCTTGTGAATCAAAATGTTACTCTGTCTTAAGCAAAAACAGATTTCAAGGACAGACTGTCTCTAAAACCCTTTTGCCAAAATGTTACCCATTAAGTTAGAAATTTAATGAAATATTTCAAGTCACAGATTATAGAATAGATAAATACCAGAAACAGGAAATCTTTTTTTAAGTTTGACGTGCTGTTAGGCAATCAGTGAGCGGTGGTGACGGCCCACTCTGTGTTGAGACCAAAGTTTATATATGGTGCTACAGTGTCACACTGAATTCCGGTGTTATTTTGCCTTGTTCAAGTTTCCTTTTTTAATCAATCTGCATGTTTTTATTTTTCCATGTTTTTCTAAAAATGTGGTGTCTAAGATACAAAGTGAGCACAAGTACAATCATTACATCAGTCTGAAATGTATAGAAGCATTTTTAAGCCTGGTTTAGGTTTCTGTGTCAGACCTATGCAGGAGCATAAGCCTGAGGTCTTCCAAACACAGGCCTGTGTAGGTACAACATTCAGCAAAAATCTGATGAAAAGATGAGGACAGGACGGTGAGTGATATTCTTGTGTCACTGCCACCTCACATCCTCTTTCTCAGTGGCTCTATAGTCAGTCATCTCCAACCCCACTGATCTTTTCTTCTATGCAATAAGTGCAGCATGATCAACTGCTGCTTAACAACATTGATCAACTCCAACTTAGACTGGCTAGACAAGCTCTCTAGACAAGCTTAGATTATGTTGCCATGATTTACTGTAAACCAAACAAGAACCTAACATAACGGGAATATGCCGACCATCATATAGGTGGAATATTGCAGAGTGTTGTGGGCATTCGTGGAGTGTTCACAAAGGCATCGTTCACTATGGCGCAGCTACAGTGTAGCAGAGGCACAAACCAGGCTTGATGTTTAACAGTATTTCACCCAGAAGGATGGCGCTTAAGTAAAGAGTCATAGCCACATGATTAGGCTGATCAGCTGAGCAGTGTCACCCTTTAATGTTGTCTCCCTCAGTAAGTCACAAGCATGCATCTGAAGAGAACAGTGATATCAACTGTTACACAAACAGATGTGGTCGAGATCTGTTTGGTTAGAAAGACCTCTCAGTTTTTCCAACTAGTGACCACTTTTTTAAGGAATATTTTCAATTTGAGGGACAACAAAGAAAAAAAAAGGTGTCATTGTAAATATGAAGCTTTTGTAGGTGGTACTTGAAGCAGTTTAAACTTGAATTTATAGCACAGAGTATAAAGAGGATGGGAAAACCCTAAGTGTGCTATGGTTAATCTGTGACTTCCTGTTAATTGAAACTCTGACAGTGAAACTCTGCTTTGAAACAGGAGGAAGTGGTTTATTTGTTGGTGAACTATATCTGTAGAAAACTGATGTGTTTTATAAAAAGATCCAGAGGGTATACAACAGCCAGCTTGGACTGCTTTTTCAGTGCCAACTAAGGAATGAATCTTTTGTTTGGTGATTGGTGTCACAAAAACGGAGGAATCGCGTGTGAATGTAGTGTATTAGCAAAAACTGTGTAAATGGTTTTTAGTTCACCAGAAATGTATTATTTTGAAATTTTACATTGATAAACTCCTCTTATTTCCTAAAAGCACCCCTAAACCCCAAACTGCACCAATGCTGGTATTTGATATTTGATGGTATCAAACAACAGTTCGGTGGTAATAAGCATGTTAGCTTGCTCTAAATGTTATATTGTTAAAAAAATATCAGTTCTGCAAAAGCAACTAATCTAGACCTAAAGTACAGTGAAGTCAATTGCTTTACATTCTTTGTTTTGGTGGATTCAAGGCAACCAACAAAACCCACGTAGCTTGAAAGCCATGTTTAGACAGCTATCACTTGGCTCTTGAGGATCAACCTTTCTCATGAAGTTGGGAATTATAGATTAGTTGGCTAATTATTGCTGTCTTTTAGCTAGATGTTGAGTACATTCCAAAAGATGTGAGAGAACAAAGACAGATTATAAACTAACTCAATGCATTCACGTGACTGCACATGAACACTATGAAGAGCTCAGAAAGAACTGACAGGGAGAATACAGGTTCAGTCAAGTTGCAGCAGGTTTTTTTTTATTTTTTTCATTTTAGTGATATTGATAATTGCTGGTAATTGCTCTCTCTCATTATGAATCTTAGGTCTGCTGTTGTGCTGTACAACACCTCAGGTGAGAAGTGATCCTAAAAACGTAACTTCTCCTTTGGCCCCTTCAACAACACCCTCAACAAGCCCTGAGCCAACAACCATTCCAACACAGAACACAGACTCTAACACCAACACCAGTGCCAGTACAACCCCCATTACCAACCAAACCACTGCTACTACTCCTGGCACCAACCAATCCACTGCTACCACTCCTGGCACCAACCAATCCATTGCTACCACTCCAGATGCTACACAAACCAGTGGTCCCACTGGCACCATCCAATCCACTGCTACCACTCCTGGCACCACACAAACCAGTGGTCCCACAGGCACCAGCCAATCCACTGCTACCACTCCTGGCACCACACAAACCAGTGGTCCCACTGGCACCACCCAATCGACTGCTACCACTCCTAACACCACACAAACCAGTAGTCCCACTGGCACCACCCAATCCACTGCTACCACTCCCGGGACCACCCACCCCAGCATAACCTCAAGCAATACTCAGACCAACAGTCCTGCTGGCACCACCATCCAAAAGACCACCACTACCAGTTCCATCACCACCACCACTTCTACTAGGACCACCCAAACCACCACACTGGAGCAGGAGAAACACACGTCTGAGGGTCTGAGCTCAGGTATGTGCAAAAAGCTGTTGATAAGTAAATAATGAATAAAATGTTATGAGAGTTCAGCTTAGGAATGTAGTGATTTTTGGAAAGGTTTCAGACCCAACTATAGATGTATTATCCTTATGGCTTTAAGAATCTCCATGGAAACCAAAATGTGTAAACAAGCTGTAAACAAGCTGACTGCAGCGGGGTGGCGCAGCTTAAGGAAGAACATTTATGATCAATTCTTCATGGAAATGCAATCAGAGCGAGACGCTAAGGCAGAAGAACTACAGCGTCTGCAGGGGGAAATGATTAATATGATGATTATTATTTCAAGGAAATGATAAAGTAATGATCATAAATGTTCTTCCTTGAGCTGCGTCACCCCGCTGCAGTCGGTGATGGACTCGTTTGAGGTCTCCGTACAAACAAGCTGCTGCTGGAAGAGAGTAGGTGAGTTGTGTTTAGTCTCTTTGCTAGAGAAATCGGGCAAAGTTAAAAAAGATGTTTGGTGGCTAGTGCTGTGGCTGGGACCCTATATGTTCTGTTGATGAAGTTCAGTGCTGTTCTGAGCATTATTTGTGGCTATAGAGTCAGGTTTTGGTGAAGCGCGTGGCTCCTCAAGACCACTGTGTATTGCTATCCTGCGGTCGTTACAAAAGTTGGTATAACTAGAGAAGCAAGCGGTCGGCAACATTCATCTCTCGATGGGGTGTCTAACTCGGTGTTATGGTGTGTTTGACCCTAACTTAATTTTATGCCAGAATATCCCTTTAAAAACCCTCAAGGTACCCACCATCACAGTGGTTATTTCTCTTGCCTTGAGAACTACAAGATAAACCATGCATCAATTATGTCAATAATAGATTTGCCTTCACCTTGACAGATTCATGTACCAGGTGGCATTGCTCTGCCCACTGTTTATTATTTTGCCAGATACTGCAGCAGCTATCTCTCCAGATTCAACCCATCTCTCTGCAAAGATTAGCAAAGCCAAGTAAGGTGGGGAAGGTTTCTTCCCAATTACAGACTTGCTTTTAACAATGAACATAATAGTCCAGTGTGCCTCCTGATGCCTCCCCTCCTCCTCTCCTTTCTTTGACAGTTACTTATTAACAATGTTATCACGGCCTTTAGAATAAAAAAAAAATATCCAACAAAAACCCAATCTTCAAAAAACACTAAAAATTTGGCAATAACTAAATTAAAGAGGTCATTCGATGTAGGTCAAGTTCATTCCTCACTGTTATTCATCCATCCCTTTGAACTTTCTTGGCTGTGTGCTGGTTTGAGGTTAATATGTGAACAGAACAATTTCTCCTCAGACGTCCTTGTTTACTTTACAGTTTAGTCTTTACAGTCTGAAGGAGTAAAATCATAGAGCAGCTGTCTGAGGAGAAGAGGCTGTCTGTTAGCTTTGTCCCCGCCTGTTTAGTCATTCACAAAACTGTTAAGTCACCAATCCACTCCCTCTTTTTTTGTTGTTGTTGTTTTAACTGTTTTATTTTTAATTATCTAATCCCCGACAGATCAGACTTCTGAGTCCGGACCCTACTTCTCTTTTCATAAGTAACCATAAGATCTGATAAATGTCTGACTCACAGCTTCTGGCATCTCTAGGGCTATAATTTTTTAACTACTTTTAGGTTAGCTTCCATTTAAACTGCTGAAAAGTGACCAAAAAGTCCCAGAAAGTGTCCAAAACTGAGATCTTATCACATCAAAAGTAAGTAGAGGATTTGATCAATGTTTAAGCATGAACCCAAACCGAAGTCTGGATACAACCCTCCTAAAGAGACGCCTTCAGGAAGTGTTTGGCCCAGTTTCTTACACACAGATTACTAATTAGTACTCAAAACTCAAAGGTCAGTTTAGCCCAGCATTTATCTTATCTGGACAAACTGTCCATCAAGTCATGTCTGACACAGAAACTGAGATATAGGAGGAAATGTATAGTTTCATTTCACATTTTATCTAATTTACACACTGAGCAGGAGGTCCAGTTTAAGTTTTCCAGGTAGGGTTGGCTGAACCGAGAGTTGCAAGAAAAAAAAAAGAGAGAATTTTTTTTATATTGTCGGAGAAAAATAGACCTAAACTCATCAATTTTAAAAAAGACAACTGTAAATGTTCAATAAAATGTACATAAATAATATGACACCACTTTATATGGTTGAATTTCTAAAAGCCTATTGTTTGTATTAATTTTCGTTAAAAGCAGGACCCAGATGACAGAAAATCTTTGCTTCTAACACCAAGGAAGTCGAGTTAAATAAAAAAAGTAGTTTACGTGGAAACAAACGTGAATTTAAGGTAATCTAGGTCAAAGATGATAATGTTATGCTTGTTAGATAAATAGCAGATAAAAGCCTAATGGTGCATTTAATTTGTCACTCTTATTCCAAACATTTAAACTTTTGGTGGAAGTAGTTTGGACTCAAGTTAGAACTTTCTTCACAGATGAAAACACTGAATTTCAATGTAATAGATTTATAAAACTTGTGACAAATTCAAACGAAAATGTTAAAAATGTTGGAACATACATATTTTACATTGAATGTATTTTTACAATAACTACCTCCTCTTTCTCTCTTATTCCTTCCAGCAAGCATTGCATTGATTATCTGCTTTTTCATCGCACTCGTCCTCCTGGTGCTGGGAGGACTTTATCACTACAAGATCCGGTGAGTCCAAAGTTTATACTAATGTCATCCAAAATATGTTGGGGCAAATTTACAAGAAATGGATCCATCTGTTAATGTCACCATACAACCCTCAACTTTCTCTCTGTGATGAGAAAAAAAACCACATCATTTTGTTTAATGCTGCCAACAGACTGTTTTTAACAATGAGGTTTTATTTCTTCTAGTCAGATAAACCAGATGCTAAACAATGAGATATGAAATCTTAACAGTCTCTTTGAATGCATCAGTCATTGCTTTTTGTTACTTATGGTGGCTACAATTGCTGATATTTTTATCAGTGTTTGCCTGCATGCATGAGTTTACCTATTTTGTAATACATATGAACATTGTTAGTGTTGACCTTAACCCCTAACTTCTTTACAAATCAAAACAGTATTGTCCCATTTCTGTTAGTAAATGGGTCATGAACAGTGTTTCCCCTACATTCATTCTACAGTGACGCACCGCCGCTGCTGAATTACATGCTGTGACTGAAATTTCACATGATCATCAATATCAGTGCGTCACTAATGATTTCTACATGCACTGTGTGAGCACAACAACACACAATGTTATTTTCAACTAGTTTTGAGTCATCAACGAGCGCATCAAATCCATCAATGTGAAAGGTTAATGTTCAAGCTTATACACGGTCTATAACGAGTAGCATTAACAGCATTAATATCAGAGTCACTTGTGATTTCTACATGCACTGTGTGAGCACAACAACACACAATGTTATCAACGAGCGCATCAAATCTTGTCGGACCCTCTTCCATTAATGTGAAGGGTAACATTCAAGCTTATACACTGTCTATATAGCGAGTAGCACAGGTAACGTAACATAAGGCAACGTAAAAGTAACAGCGTAGCTCCTTGAGTGGCAAGAGCGAAAATCCCCACCCCACAAAAAAAATTCTAGGGGAAACACTGATCAAGATTTCCTGACATGCTTCTTTTTTTCTTTGCTGTTCAACCTCAGATTTATTTATTTTTCTCTTTCTCTCTCTATTTTAGACGTAGATCTTATGGACCTCTCCTGGACAACAACCAAACAGCTTTAGGAAACTTCAGTAACCCCATGTATGACCCTTAAATATTAATGTTTGCCCCTTAACATAAAGTTCTCTGTCTGCAGAAGAAAATGCTCTGATTTATAAACATTTCGAGTGAATACGTCTGTCTGTATGTGTGTGTGTGAGAGAGATATATTAGGGACGGCCACATTTTACAACTGTGACCTAAAGCCAGATGGCTTAATTGCACTCGACTGCAAAATGCAAAACATTTGTGGCATTTATGAAGTTACCCCATTTCTGGGTAAAGTTAACCAGATCATTATTATTATTTTTTACTCAGGTAAAGTTTCAATCTGCTCAGGCTACGGAAACAGTGCACAGTTTCATATTCTTGAAACTAAAATGTCACATCTCAACTTATTTTGTTAACAAACATCAGGTAAACTTGTCTTTCACAAGTCAGTGGACACTTTGTGTAATAAAAACGTTTTGTGATGTGAACCCGTTGCAAACAGGTGCATAAAATCCAGCTAACAGCCATGAAATCTCAACAAAGATACTTTAAACTTTGTATTGTCACAGAATTTTACTCTTCTCATGAGTCGGATCTGTAATTTCTAACCCATGAGATCTTGTCTATAAAATCAGTGAAGTGGAAGTGGATTAAATCAACAACAGCTCAGCCCAATAGTTGTAAATCATAAACATACCCACAACTTAAGGTCAACAAGAACTAAAGGTTCAATTAAGGGCTGCTAAAACATGAGGAAGACCTATCGTACCATTTCTCAGTTTTCAGCATTAGATCACTGATGAATATGATCTTGATTTCATGACAGAGATAGGTCAACAAGCAAAAGCATCATTAAAACTAACACCATTTTATATCCAAATTTTATGCCTAATACAAAACTAGATTGAGATTGTGTGTATCAGTAGATTGGCTAAGTTGCGCTGAAATGCAGTGGTAGTGCTGTTTTGGGCAGTAATGAAACACAACTTGGTGGTTTGGATATGAGGTCTGTCAATTAAAAAAAAAGTATTATCTGCTGTCTTAATGTGAAAAAGAATCTTTTTTAATGTTATTATTTAGCAAACAGTCTCGATAGACAACAGTTTTGAAAATTGTTCAGTGCAAAAGTGAGAGCAAAGGCTTGCTTTATATATCCTTAATGAAGCTTTTAATCAAGTGAGTATAGAGACCAATTACTTAGCATGTAACAGCAACAACTTTGAAATCAGACTGATTTATGGAAAATGTCTGAGGCTGAAACTCGTGAGTTTTTCATATAAAGATTTTGAAATTGAGTGAAGTAGGAATGTAGATACTGGCTTTTAAAGCAGGTATCAAGGTATCCAAGATGCTGATCTCCTATCTACTGCATAATGTAATCCATTCATGAGCCTGAACTTTAACTTCTCTATGTAGGGAACCAAACAATATATGGAATGGCAGATGTGCACCTAATCTGCATCGTCTATTATTTATAAATGAAGGTTTCTTTATGACTGAATGCCAGCAGTGTGAAAATTTTTGATGTTGAAAGTAATTTTTCTGCAAGAAACACATTTCTGTCATTGTCGTTCCTCCAGTTTTTGATATTAAATCTTTCATTCAGGAGACATCAAATGGGAGGTCGATACTTTGACTAAATGTGATATGTGTGATAGAATTGTACGAAAACTGTGAAATAAAAACTGAAAAAATGAAGAAAACAAGAGTTGAAGTTTTGTTGAAAAGAAAACAAAGAGTCATTGATTGGTTTTCATTAACATGATAATGTCAAACATGACATTCTCAACCCATTCATGTGTTTCTGTGAGTCATGTTTCAAAGCCTTATAAACGGGTTTCTGTGCAACGTCATCGCAGGTATGCCAGGGGGCAGAAAGTGGGACATTTCTTATTTGTTTACTAGCGAAGTCAACAGAGAACAAAAATGACAAGGAGCTGTTGTACTGTAAACTGCACGATCGGGAAAGGGATGGATGGAAACTGTTTAACATCCCTAGATCCCTCATCCTTTTGCCAAGAGAAGAAGAGGATTGTGGCTTCAGGCCATTAAACGAGTGGATTGGGGTCCTAAAGGTCCTAAAGTACATAATTATAAGTGTCCAAAGATTTATACGCACACAAACTGTCCTTTGTGTACATACTAGGCTTCTCAATTAGATAATTATATATGTTGGGCCATATTATAGCTGGTCATTTGGACATATCTGCAATACATTCCTCACTTGGAATATTATATGGGTCTGGTAATTTCTCTCCACTGCTGAGGACAAGTTTGTTCAGGTAATCGGTGCAGTCTGAGCTGCTGAGGCTGTTGATATAATCGGTCTGAGCCATCTCTGTAAAGACCCAGCTAACAAGCTGTCAGACTTATATTTACAGTGACATTGACAGGTTTTTTAAAATGTTGGCAGGCCATAAAGTAGCCTTGTCGTAAACATTTTTACTTTGACTTTGTTAGCATTCACTAACATAATGACCCTGCTCCTGATATTCAAAACATCCGAAACTACGTCACAACCTGGTAAGTTGAGTCAAATTCACAGATATTTCAGCAAGTGTTTTTCTAATTTGTGATGCAATGAAAGCTAAAGCCATTTTTTAATTAAATGACATTTTATTGCAATTGTGTCAAGGGAAAACTTGCAAACAATACGGCATCTTCATTGATATCAGTTCACTCCAAAGCAGGCTTTTGTTCCCTGGTTGTGTACTGCCAACTGTGACCAAAGCATGATCCCAGTTACCTCTAACATTGTTTAGGTTTTTTATATTAAACATCAATTAGAACAGAGGCCTGATTAGATAGAGGAGAAAATACTTGACCATCCATTACATACAGTGCATCCAGAAAATATTCACAGCACTACAGTTTTTACACATTTTCCTGTGTTACAGTCTTATTCCAAAATGGATTCATTTGTGAGGTGCTGTTTAATGTAACATTATTCTACTAGCTAGTTGACTGTGTTCACTGTTGACTGTGAAAGTGTGAAAGTGTGCAATAACAAGCACAAGAGTAAAACAAACGGTTCTGTTGTTCAGCACATTGTCCTCAGCTCTGCTCTGAATGAGCGTCAGGCTGCAGGGTGTTTATTAGTGGAAGCTGTAATAACTACACTGTCATCACTGCCCTTCCATCCTAACCACATCCATTCTTCCTCTTCCTCAAACCCTCTCCATTAAACCATCCTCTCCTGCCCACGCTCCTCTTCTCTCTTCCTGCGTTCCCCTTCATCAGTCACTGGTGTTATTTTTCTGACCTTGAATAGCCTTTTCCATCAGCTCCACTGGGACTCTAAATCTGCCTACCACTCAGCCCTACTGTCCAGCCTACTGCCATGTTGCCTCACCTGTAAGCATGCCCACTGACATGGGTGGGTCAGTTGAGAGCTGGTACCTCTGACCACTTAAAAATATACACAAATATTTTTCCCAAATTTTTGAAGTAAATTTCTAAATCTACATACAGAGGCCTTAATGAAACAAAGATGTAAAATGATTTCTAAAGATGCAAATACTGCTTGTAATTCATATGTGTAGAGTGATAAAATAATTCCGTTGGCAAAAGTACCTGAAAAGTGTATAAAAATTATCGTGTGAATGTACTTTGAAATACCACAAGTGCATCCAATCTCCATATGCTGTAATAACTACTAGGCTGCAGCAGTAATAATAGAGGGACCAGAATCCTGTGCTGCTCTGTTATTATCAAGCCCTGAATACTTACTGGATTTGTGAATATATGTGTGGTACTTGACAATCACACTAAGGAAAGGGTGAGAGACTATTTTCTTGCCATTACAAACAGCCTCACAATTAAAATAATAATCTACTTTTTGCACAAGTACAAAGTACAAAAAATTAGCTGTCACAGCAGAAAATTAGTCCTCAAACTCAGCTGCGTATCTTATCTGCTGCTGGTGGATGGTTTTCTGTGCACACATGCAATGAAGTCCTGTTCCAGTCAGCTGGGATTACAAGATGAATCATTTCAGTGCAACTGCACTTTCTGTTTGTGTTGACTTTTTCCTCTCAGTATGTAAACCTGACATATTAAAAGAAGAAGTGATATGGAAAGCCGTTAGAACATAAAGTGGAGCATTAAAAGAGAAGTTTCTATCAGCATTACAGGCAGAAAATAAAGCAAGCCAGGGTACAAAGGTATTTGAACAATCTATTAACTTCTGTTCTTTTCATTTATGATCTCAATCAACACACGATTTCAGACTCTGAGAAACAGGAAGAAGCTCGTTCCTCTCTCTTTCTTCACTCTCTTTCTTCAAAGCCTATAGCGATGAAACCACAATCTGCAGTTTCAGGAGCAGTTTGAACACAGTAACCGTTAACAGGTGGTTTAGGTTATTCCCCACATAAAAGCCCAATACCTGCTCATTAAACAAAGTGGGTTAAGCAAGATTTAATGTAGACAATGTAGGGCATCAGTTTAGACTAGCGGATTATGAGACATCATAATCCAAACATCTTAATCTAGGTTAATCTAGGTTCTGTGTGAAAGTTATTTGGGCTCTACACTTTAGATGTCAAAAAAACAAAAAACAAATATAGGACAGGATGTTGCTTTTGTACAAAGGAAGTGTATCCTCAATGGCGGAGGGGTTCAAATGATTTCAAACATGTTCTATTCTAAATGAGTTCGAAAATTGTTATATTTTCATTTTTGAAGAGTAACTGCTCAACTTTCTACACACCATATTTTGCTTTAAATGCCCCACCAATTACAGCAAATGCCGAACCTATTTATCTAAAAAAGAAAGGACAAACTAAAAAGTGACACTAATCATGATTTTCTTAAAATAAGTATTTAGTATTTAAAAATTGCGAAAGGGAAACCGAATCCCTTGTTTCTATAACTGTCTGATTGTGATGGAAAGTAATACCACTGTTATATCAAACCCAATTAATTTAAAGTTTGGGGCTCTCCAATAAACTCAAACGAGGATTTTGGAAATGTAGTATCATAAAAAAATGATGTAAGCAGTTTAAAACCTGAACTAAACACTGTTGAAAATGTGCAGTAAGCCTTAACTGTTATCTAAAACAT